GCCAGGGGGATATCAGAGAGCTCCTAGGTGGTATTCGATCTGAGGTAGCGGCACTCAGAGTGGAGATTCTAGTAGAGCTTAAATCATCTATTTCTGCGATGAAAACTTCATTATTAGAGCAAGAAACAAAGCTGAAGGATATGGAAGATTCCCTTACCGACGTGGATGGTCGGGTTACTGCCCTGGAATCTACGTGTTCAACGCTGTCGAAAGATAATGAAAGACTGAGGGCCAAACTCGACGACTTGGAAAATCGATCCAGAAGAAATAATGTTTGTGTGATTGGTATCCCTGAGGGCTCCGAAGGTACTCATCCCTCTGCATTTATTTAAGGAATGTTACTCGAAGTATTCGGGGAGCAGAGTTTTGCCAAGAAGCCGGAGGTGGACCGAGCTCATCGTTCCCTAGCCCCGCCGCCGAAAGCTAATCAGGCTCCCAGACCGTTCATCGTGCGATTGCATCATTACCAGGTGAGGGAACTGATTCTCCGGCTGGCACGAGAAAGGGGACAGGTGTTATACAAAGGATCGCGTATACACTTTTACCCCGATATCAGTGCTGAAGTCGCAAAGTGGAGAGTGGCTTTTAACCAGGTCAAAGCTCAACTCAGAGGAGCGGGAATTGAATTCGGCTTGCTTTTCCCTGCACGGCTACGGATCAATCATGATGGAACGAGACATTTTTTTGACTGTCCACAACGGGCTTTGGAATTTGTGAGGGGAATTGTCCCCCCTTCAGCAAGTGAGTAGGAATGATCATCGCGACAGAGATTGTGTCTCCGATCCTACTTAATTCAGCGTCAAGCTAAACTTGGATAACTTTATGGTTACAGTAAGTTACGTTATGCGATGGAAAATGGAGAGACTAATTTTAGTTTGGACTGATCCACACTCTTAATTTCACATTCAAAATGTCGTTTGTTTTTGTTTTCAACGACAATTAAGTTCAAAGGGAGCAGAAACAAGAGCTGGTGAGTTATGGTTCTTAGTATACCAGCAGATGTTTGTTGTGTGAGGGTGTCAATACGTCGTTTGCGACAAGGGTGGGGGGGAGGCGGGGATAATAGCACGGCCTTTTTTTTTTTTTTGTGCTCACGTGGTTTGCTATAACGGATTCAGTATTATTGTCTCTATCACTTAGAATTACTCCTTGATAATATGTCCAAGTTCAATAAATGTGATGTAAATTTCATAACGTGGAACATAAAAGGCATGAACAATCTCATTAAAAGAAATAAGATTTTTTCTCACTTACGACAACTGAGCGCAGACATAGTTTTTCTACAAGAAACCCATATTCTTAACTCAGATGTAATTAAACTAAGGCGGAGTTGGGGAGGTCAGGTATTTCACTCGAGTTTCAATGCAAAAGGCAGAGGTACGGCTATCCTCATTAGGAAGAGCATTTCTTTCACCAGTGAAAAGGTTATCAGTGACTCCTCTGGTCGCTTTGTTATCATTACAGGCCGCCTGCTTGACAAACAAGTAATTCTTGTTAACATTTATGCTCCAAACTTTGATGACAGCAATTTTTTCACCAAGGTCTTCACATCTATTCCACCAGCTGACGATTATGCATTAATAATAGGTGGGGACTTTAACTGTGTTCTGAACACATTATTGGATAGATCCTCCTCCAAAGTTATACAGCCTTCTAAGGCAGCTACAAACATTAAGAATCTCTGTGATCAATTTGGACTAGTAGACCCCTGGAGATTTCTTTTCCCTTCTTCCAGGACATTTTCCTTTTTCTTGCCTGTTCATCACTCATACAGCCGCATTGATTTTTTCTTGGTGGATAAGAGTCTCATGCCCTTTGTCTCATCTAGTATGTACCATAGCATTGTTATATCTGACCATGCCCCCTCCTCTTTTGTGCTGAGTTTACCAACTCAGCATTCCTCCTTTAAACCGTGGAGACTAAATTCTTTGCTCCTAGCAGATGAAGAACTCATTACTTATTTAACCAAAGAGATTAATATTTACCTGGAGTTAAATGACAAGTTTGACATATCTAGGAGTATACGATGGGAAGCATTAAAAGCATACTTGCGGGGCAAAATAATTTATTTCTCCTCCTATGCCAAGAAGCAAGAACTCTCAAAGCTCAAGGATATTTCAGAAGCCATTAGCAGGCTTGATGAACAGTACGCCGTCTCTCCTAGCCCCCCCTTGTATAAAGAAAGAATAAGCCTACTGTCCAAATATAACTTGTTGTCAACTAAACAAGAAGAGAAGAGGTTATTAAAAACTCATCATTCATTTTATGAATTTGGGGACAAAGCCAGTAAATTACTAGCTTTTCAGTCTCGTCAATCAAATAATTAAAAAATAATTACTCATATTAAGGCCACGTCTGGATCCATGGCATATACTCTACAGGATATTAATGACAGCTTTGTCCATTTTTACTCTAACCTATATACTTCAGAGTACCCTAATGATTCTGCAATTTTAGAGTCCTTCTTTAAAAAAAGAAGTTTACTCACTATTAACTCAGACCATCACTCTGACCTGGGCAGACCCATAGATACAGTTGAAGTTACAGAGGCTATTGCGGCAATGCAGAGTAGTAAAGCTCCGGGACCTGATGGTTTCCCGATAGAGTTTTATAAGAAGTTTGCAGCTTTACTGGGCCCACTTCTTATGGCAGTTTATAATTAATCTTTTAATAGAGGGACTCTCCCTTTAACGCTTATACAAGCTTCAATTTCTCTTATCCCAAAGGAAGGCAAAGATCCCACTCATTGCGAATCATACAGGCCAATTTCACTTCTGAACGCAGATTTCAAAATTTTATCCAAAATTCTTGCGCTACGCATGGAACCCATTCTCCCTACTATAATTTCAAATGACCAAACAGGATTTATTCGAGGCCGTAACCCCTTTAATGCCCTCTCTCTCCCTTGTTATTCGCCATATCAATTGAACCCTCGGCTGCTGCGCTCCGTCAGTCTCATAATTTCAAAGGTATTACACGACATGGTACGGAGCATAAAATTTCATTATATGCGGACGATGTTTTATTATATGTAACAAGCCCAACCTCCTCAATTCCTCAAATTATTTCGCTCTTAAAAGAATTTGGCAATATTTCTGGCTATAAGCTTAACATGAGTAAAAGTGAGTTTTTCCCAATCACTCCGACTTCCTGTAGAGACTCCTCCTCCATTCCATTTAGAATAGTACATGAGGGCTTCAAAGTCACAGTTGATCGTCATGAGTCCCCGGCCAAGATGGCCGCCACGCCTAAACTACCCGCTTATCGCCTGTAGTGATAGCTACTCTACAGAGCCCTCGTTCATTCCTAGTCCTAGACTTGACTATTGGAAAGTGGGAAGATAGATTCTAAAGAGAGGAATGTTCATTTATTTTTTTCATCTATCTATCTATCTATCTATCTATCTATCTATCTATCTATCTATCTATCTATCTATCTATCTATCCCCCTTTTTATTTATTTATTTTTTCTCTCATGGTTTTATATATTTTTTTATTTTTATTTATTTTTATTTATTGTGTGTGTGGGAGGATTCTGGGTGGGTTTAATTTGAGATAATCTGTAATCTCTTATTCTTCACTGAAAGTATCATTATGTATTGTCTTGTTAAATACCATATATTTTTTTTAAATATTAAAAAAGTGAAATGGTTTAAGATAAATAATAAATTAATAAATGCATTTCTCAGAATGCTCCAAATGATCAGGCATTGAAGAATAAAATAGAAAATAAAACAACCAAGTCAATAAGTGTTTTGTGTGTGTGTGTGTGTGTGTGTGGGAGACACACAAAACAAGCCTCTTAAGAATGCAATATAATAAGCGTACATGAAAAACTTTGCCAGGAGAACAAATATAGATCACACATTTAAAATACTATATTATTAAAAAGCAGAAAATGTAATTTATTAAAAATAAAATAATTCAATATAAACTATTTAAAAATTATTATATGACAATAAAGGCATTAAATTATAATACTTCTACAGAAATTAAATTACATTTTACATATTACATTCATTCATTCATTCATTCATTTAATGTTTGTTTGTTTAATCATGTTTTATATTTAATCACACCTAAGGGTTGTATTGAGGATTTTGTTAAAATAACACTATAGGCCAAAGACTTGTTTATCTCTTCCTGAACACCTTGGTGCTATCTCAAAACATTAAAAAAGAGTCTATTTAATGAGTATTTTTAGTGAGGCCCCACGCACGCTGCATCAAACCAATGCTAGGTATACACTACATGATTTTCAAAGTCGTCCATTCAGTTCCTTTCACACTTCAAAACTGTTTTGGGTATCATGAAGTTGCTGTGGTTTGCATTTACACACATTACACAGTATTTCACTAGTAAGAATCCCTGACAAGGACTACAAATCTTCTCCTGGAATTTCTCATTTACATTTTTAACATGTAGATTTAAGATTTTTTTTTCCTTTTTTTTTCTTAAAGTTAAATTGCAAAATTATTTTCAAAGCTTGACTTTTGTCCATTCACAAGAGGGCAGCAACGCACAATTCCTACCTCATCAGACTTAAGAAATACACTGAAGCCTCTACTTTCCTACATTTTAGTCTAAACAGTATGCCAATGACATATCCTAAAAAAGAAACTCAGCTAGCCTAATTTTGTGTGTGACTGATGTATCAACCCAAGGACTGCAAAACGGGTTGTCTAATTTTCAGATAGGCCTATCATTTCAGTGTTTAGAGACTGAACAAAAACTCTTCAACTGAGCAGCTGTACAATTGGTCCTCGTACTTTTACCATATTACTAATAATGAAGAGGAATTTGTTTGACAAGTCCTCAGCATAATAAGCAGTGATACTTCGAGTAAAAACTACATGAAATATTTGGAGTCTCAAAGGAGCACGAACTGAAGTACTCGACAATCGATAATATTGCAAGATAAAACTGCATATTTGCAGGCATCCCATCACTTATTAAAGTGAGGCACGCCTACAGCGCGTGCGGCTGCCCAGTTCATTCTCACAGACTGCAGCGCACTTTACAGCGCTCAGACTGTCACAATGCGCTCCTATTTCTGGCGGATTTTTTTTACGAGGAGTGACAGTGGAATAAGAGGAAATCATGCTAGTTCTATCGTAGTAGACCGAAGACCCTTCACTTCTTTCCCAGGATTGTTCTTTTCTGTTTAACCATTATCCACAATGCTTTACTTTCAGCTGGTGATCATGGCAGGGACTGTCATGTTGGCATACTACTTTGAGTACACCGATACTTTCAACGTGCACATCCAAGGATTTTTCTGTCATGATAATGCTTATACGAAGCCCTATCTCGGACCAGAGGAGTCCAGTGCGATCCAGCCAGCCATCCTGTACGCGGTGGTCGCAGGGGTCCCTGCACTCGTGGTGAGTTAGTGTGTATTGAAGGTTTAAAGGAGTTTAGAATAAGCAGTGCATGCTGGTCGTGGTTCTTGGGAAGATCTTTATTCATATAATAGCATAATGTTAATCAGCTTGTGAAATGTATTGTCCTGGTGGATAGAGTCTCATAGTCATCCTGCCTGCAAAGTTAGGATAACAATAATTGAAAGAAATAATTATACACAGAAGAATGTGGCATCTGGATTTACACACCACACACACACACACACACACACACACACACACACACACATACATATATATATATTTATGTATATTTGATTATACAAATTATTTTGCAAATTAATTATCCAGTGTGTTTTAGAGTGTATTTGCACTTTGTGGGTCAGCTATCTATCTATTTAGTGGGTCAGCTATCTATCCATCCATCCATCCATCCATCCATCCATCTATCTATCTAGTGGGTCAGCTATCTATCTATCTATCTATCTATCTATCTATCTATCTATCCATCCATCCATCCATCCATCCATCCATCTATCTACCTTAAAGGAATGAATATTTTTTTATTCAGCAAGGATGCATTCATTTGATCAAAGGTGTTAGTAAACACATTTATACAAATTAATGTTACAAAAAAGTTTATTTTAAATAGATACTGATCTTTTGAATTTTCCAATCATTAAGAATCCAGAAAATGAACCCATGATTTCTACAAAAATATTAGAAGCAGCACAACCATATCTCAGAATTGAAAATAATAATAAAAAAATGTTTCTTAAACAGCATATTAGAATGATTTCTGAAGGATCATGCAACTGAAGACTGAAGTAATGACTGCTGAAAATTCAGCTTTGCCATCAGAGGAATACATTATGTTTTTACAGTGGTGGCCAAAATTATTAGAACACCTGATAGATCTGAAAATATTGACCTTTTTTGCCTCCAAAACATGATTTAATTTCATAATGTTCATAATGCAGATGGCTGCACTGAGCACAACTATCAGATGAAGTGAGTAGTGCTGTCACATGATTAATTGTGATTAATCATTTGGCACACTCGAAGTGAGTCGTACTGTTTTTATCCACTTTTAACTTTAACATTTGATATGTCCACCATTACAGCAGCAAATCTCTCTGACATAGTGTCAATATATTTCCTGAGAACTTCAACACTAATGTTATCCCATGCCTTCTGCAACTCAAGCCAAAGGCTTTCTATTGAATATACAATAGATCTGTCCAGTTTATTTTCCAACTCGCCCCAAATTTGCTCGATGGGGTTGAGGTCCGGACTTGTAGGGGCCAGTCCATCATTTTCAATGTTCCAGCAGATTCCTTCCATCACAGGTAGTTCAGGCAATAGTTAGTTTTATGGGTATTGTAATGGCCAATTCAACAAAAACAACTGAAACCTCTTACAGTTTTTCTCAGTCGCTTTGGTGCATTTCTTGACATTTGCACTCACAGTTTAGAGAATGTTAAGATTGTTTTGAGAAATGTGCCAAAGCAATTGAGAAAAACTGTATTACAGAAGAGGGAGTGAGAAAAACTATAACAACTTTTCCTGTGTAAAATGTTGTGGAGGTTGAACTAACTGTTGTGCAAAGGTAAATAGTGATGTGAGAAATGCACCAAAGCGACTGAGAATGTAAATATGCCAAGTCTTCTTATAATTTTGGTCACCACTGTAAATATATTAAAATAGAGTTATTTAAAATTGTAGAAATATTTCACAATGTTAATGTTTTACTGTGTTTTTGGTAAAAAAAAGCAGCCTTGGTGAACATAAGAAATGTCTCTCAAAAACATAAAAAATACAGACCACAGACTTTTGAATGATAGTGTACCTCAGATGCAAAAATAGAAAACAAATTAAACAGTTGTTGACACTTAGTAAGAGTAAAGGTATAAACATAACAGCATAGTTCAAGAGGTGTTGGTTTTTATGAAAAATGTTCATGATGAAATCTTTAACTTTAAGGAGAGTTTGTAATATTGTTGAGATCTCTTTTGAAACTCTAGAGGTGACACAAGATTACCCTGAACATGAAACATGCGAAAGTCTCAATTTTCATCCTATTTAATATAATTGCTATGCAGAAGAAATGAAGAAATGAGATATGACAGATTTGAAAAGCCTGCATCTGCAGGGCACCATTGGTTAGTGTTTGCTAGCCTAGGTTGGCCACAGTGAATGTCGGGATCTGTCTTTGAGAAGTCTCTTTTTGGCTCTAGACTCTAGCTTTCTGTGCCTACAGTATATTAAAAGAGAATTTATGATGAGAAAGATATTGGCAGCTCCGATGATAAATTAAAGAGCACCAGGATCACCACAGAGCCTCCCTGCTCTCATCTCTCATTAGAATTCCAATGGATTTGCTCAATCGATCTGAAAAAACTCTTCCTGGCCTTATATTAAGGCCACACAAATTCACCCCCCCAAATGATTATTATTATCACCCATTTGCTGAAAGCATCACTTTTGAGCCAAGTGTGGAGTGAAAACTTCGATCTGGCCTCTAGCATGCTCTGTGGTGAACAGTAAAGGTCAGATATCATCTTGAAGTGCAGGCTTATACAGTGTTAGTCCCAAATATTGCTGGCATGCTGAACTTGGGCATTTCTGACAAGTTTACAAAATCTGAGACTTTAATGCAAGTGTATTTCTTACCCTCATATTATTTTAAACTGTGTGAGTGACTTTCTTCTGTGGAATACAAATGAAGAAAGTTTTAGTCATTTTTTCCCCCATGCAATTACAATTAATGTTGATTGGAGTTTTTAAGTTTCAAATACAATATCGCCATAAAAGTAGTCTATGACTTATGTCCTGCATTACTACTTTTTTTAATGTATACGATAGCTTTGTGTGAGGAAAAAACTGAAACTGAAGTTGTTTATAACCTTTCTCATCCAGTGAGCTGTCATATTTACCTCCCCCACCCCCCAAAATTATGACATTTTAAGTCATGATTATGACGTCAAATTTAAGCTTTTATGATTATACTTTTTGTTTCAGAATTTTCAGTTTTTGTAATAACTGACTTTTCACCTCATAATTCTGACTCAAGATGCGAGCACAACAGTCAACAAAGTTTACAAAACTATGGAAAAGTAGTGAAGTAGAATGGAAAAACACATTCTGTGTGAATGGCCCCTAAGTCAGCTGTCTATTTGGAGAAGCGCTTAGCAAACGTACAATAGCTTTCCTTGGCATTTCTGATACAGTGTGTGTCTACCGACCAGTGGTATCGCTGGCATCAAGTATTAAGCTTTCATTAAAATATTGAAACCAAACAGCCCCTGTCCTATCTCTTGTATGATGTAGTGGTTATATGTGCATTCAGAGCACTTATATTGCTGCTGACCTGCCAAAGCCACGATCATTTTTCAGTGTGCTTTTACCTATGTACCAACCCAGTTTTAAATGACACACCGATTTTCACCCTTTTTAACTGTCAGTGTAGAAGATTCTTGAGCAAACCGAATGGATTCATCACTGCAGTTGCACTGACTGACCTTTGGGAATTGTTCCAGACAGATGTGAAACCTTTCAGACAGAGAGTTTTAACTGTTATAATAGGATTCGACTCACACTACTCTGCCCAATTTCAATGTGACCAACCACAAATAACACAAAATATAATTTGAGCACTTTCCAAAGCTTGAACTGAACCCTTGAGGCTTTTTTAATACTTGGTCTGAACCTGAGTATGATCCACCACCCTCCCTCTGCCTCCGCTATTCATTTGGAAACAAACAACTATGAAAAATTTATTATACTATAATTGTGACATAAAGCATGCAAAGACGCAAATTATATGTTAGGATGGATTATACATTGCGATGAATTGCTTTCATACTAATTGCTAACTGTGCCAGAGCTCTTAAATAAATCGAACACTAGACCAGGGTTTTTAAAAACGTTTAATGCCACAGACCTTCAAATATAAAGATCCTGTAAAAATATAAAGCATTTTTATGTATTACGGTAAATGGTAAATCTGCTTAACACAGGTGTGTTGTAGTTAAAACTTCTTTTTTTTTTTACTGGTGGAATGCCTGATAAAGGATGAGATTGACTTGACTCCAGGCCATGTGGAGTTGGAGGCACAAAGCAGATTAATAGAATTCTTCCTTGGGGCTGCATCTCACGCTCTTCATATTAAATATGAATATGAAAACAAATAAAAAATAAATTAAAGAACTTTTGGAGAGTCCATATGCCAGTAAGAGAAACCGTCTCACTCATCAGGTTTGGCTTTTTGACATTTATGGGCCAGGATGGCATGATGTCTGTTAGAATTGAATAGTGAGTCAGATGCCAATCCACATTCACAGTCCTAAAATGCATGAGAATTCTTTCAAGTCGTGAAAGGATTTGTTGTCTCCTGTTCATTGACAGCTCAGACCATATTTATCGTTAATTTTGAAAAGGTATATTCATAAATCTCAGAGTTTGCCAGTTTATGTATAAAGGAACGTGTCTTGAAAGTAAAGTAAACAAAAATAACAAATATTCTATTCTGCAAAATGGGTCTTGGATGATTTATATAACGCCTCTAACTTTCCAATTCAAAGTTTCTACATTTAATCAATGCAGTTTGTCTTTTTGAGCTTATTGTGCATGCCTCATATGTAATCAATAAAGAACAGAGATTCATGCTGCAGTACTAACAAGTGATGTCAAAGTGATATATCCTCAGACTCTTGGTGTAGGTTTCCCACTTCAACAGCTCGCTCAGCCGTGCTAATATTGAGATATCATTGATGTTGTAAACCTGGAGTTTGCTGCACTGTTGAGTTGGCCCAAGAGTTCACAAGTTCACCTGTCACTTCCTGTGTTTTTTCACATTGGTAAAAGTATTGGAATAAGGGCGCCAGGCTCTTCTGCAGCTGAAGTCTTCACATGCTGTGAGCCGGTTAGTTGCAGACACTTTTATCCTAAGTGACGTAATACACAGGCGCAAATGAGCAACTGTTTTGCATTTTATGATGTTGCTATATGTAGCAAGAAAACAGAAAGTGCACATATATATAGTGAACAATTAAATTATGTAGTTGAGAATAAAAAAGGTCTTGTGATTGTTTTGATGAATCACAGAAAAAAGGACTTGATCAACGGGTTAACAAAACAACTGTTTATTTTAGCTACTGAATTACTAGGAACTGAAGCTCCATCATGACAAGTTTCAGTTAGTTTCATATTCTCTTGGCCACATCTCAGAAAAATTAGCAAAAATGGTACCTTTAGGGGTACAACAACTTATCATTGGGGCAGTATCCTCAACGTGGCATCTTTTTTATCTCTAAAAGGTTCATCATGCACAGATTGTAGTACTAATCTATTTTACTGACAGTGCAAACTTGGAACTTTTTAAAAGTGATATGAAAAATATTGACAGTTACAAGTTAAAGGTGAATTCATGCCAAACACTGAATGAAAGCAAGAAATTTTTTTTTATTTACACACACAGAGAGTGGCAAGAATATGTTCGAAAATATCTTTGAAAATGCCAAGTTCTGTCATGAAACTCTAGATGGCGCAGGCTGATGGGTGGTTACCGCAAATTGATAATATTCACAGCATTAAACTACTTGGCACAAGCTGATTGGTTCATGTTGCATACATAGCCAGTGAGCTTGCTGCTTTAAATTTAAATGGCTGGTTAGCATTCACTAGAGCAGTTCACAGCAAACTTTCAGAGTTCCTCTGAAACCCTTCACCTTCCCCAGCTCCACCTGTATAGATCTGCTACAGGTTATTATAAATGCTACTTATCACAGTCTTAATTGCTCACACCATCATATCGGTGTATGTATTGGCAGCAGCAAGTTCCTGTACTTGCTTTGCAGCAGCAGCAATAACCAACATCAGAAGCAGCGTAGCAGATCTCCGCCAAGACCAAATACATTAACATTTTCATAACCGTTACTATGCAAAAATCTTTCGAGTAAGTAAGTGAAACCTTTTAGTAATTTGTATTTTCTTAAAAAAATTCACAGCCGAATGGAGAAAGTAAGTCAAACCCTGAATTTAGTAACTTGTAGTTCCTCCTTTATCAGCAAAGTCTTCACCAAATGTATTGTGTTGCTGCTTAAAAGACTTTTGACCACTTTTGGACCATTCCTCCCCACAGATGTTTCAGTTTATCAATATGTCTGTGTTGTTGTGATAGTGCAGCATACTTTAGGTTATGCCATAGCGTCTTGTTCACCGTAAAGTTGGCCCTACAGGGTTCAGTGCATTTGTCATTGATGCAAGCCATTTGAATGGTCCTGGGTTGGTTATAAAATGGGCTGAACCAATTTATAGCAAGTTATCACAAAATCTGGCCCTGCCAGTTTGACAAAATCAAGTTCAAGACCTTGCTGGGAACTGGCACCTGGCCGGCACAAAATCAGCCTCTAAGCATTTCCATTGTGTTCATGAATTGGTCTTTATGAATGTTCCAGTGTTACAAATAGCTGAAATACAGCCTGATTTTGTCTTCAAGCCTAGAGAATTAGATTTTAGCTTCATTTAGATCTTAGTTCTAAGTAAAGATCAAGGAAAAAGCAGAGAAGAGAGAGTATCATTGTACCATTAAAAGCCTCTTATTTGATTTTTGTTGCTGTTTTGTCTGCAGATTACAGTGACAGAGTCCGTACTCTTCTTGCTGCAGTATGTCTCTGAGGATCTAGACAACCGAGAGAAGATCATTGTGATGGGCGACTGTTGTTACCTAAACCCTCTGGTCCGAAGAACATTTCGCTTTCTTGGTATGTCTTCACAGACGGAAGCACACTAATTAGGGCAAATGTAGATTTAGACGTTTTCCTTTCCTTGTGCATCTGTGCCTGCGCAGAAGAAAGGCAAATCGAGATGTCAGACGCACATACAGTACTAGCAAGTTTCTTGTGTGGGGCAGACGATACACTCATGGTTCATGTCAAAGCATTCTCTTAAATTATTTATAATATTTCTTCTGCAGAGAGGAGTTGAGGGGGAAAAGTATGGGATATTCTTTTCCCCTGAAATCAGACCAGAACAGGTATTTACATTTAGTCATTTAGCAGACTCTTTTATCCAAAGCGACTTACAAATGAGGACAAAATATTAACTCCCATGAATCCAGTAGACTCTAAAAGGAAGTGTAGCCACATTACATTTCAATGAATGTCTTTTTAATAATCATATAATCTGACAAAATCAAGAAAATAGGTTTTACATTTACTTTTCTTAAACACAATCACTGACCACCCGGAAAACGTCTCAACCAGTCTGTGATTTTTTTCTAGTTAAGAAATAGCCATTCTTTTCAAGACAATCACACAAAACTTGTGTATAGAAGGTAAACTGTATTTAATGTTATTTATTTTTCTTAGCATCTTCTATTGAACATGACAGCAATTATTTATCAGGACTGACAAGAACATTATACATTAAACATGTTGAACTGATTCACGTGCCTGAATTGCAGTTGCAAAGCAATATTGTATAGTTTTAGTAAAGTATGCCAGATTATGGTAGTCTGTTCCATCTTCCACAATCTAGCTTTTAAAATACAACCTACAAAAAGATGATTTTTAAAAAAAAAAGTGTCCTGAGAATGAACCTTTAACGAGTTCATCCTGAAACAAACACTGTAATTGTACTAATGCTGTAATTGTTAGAGAGATGTTGTATAGTTTCTGCATTATTCCTGCACAGTAAATTCACTGGCTTGTCTGTTATGCTGCTCATATCGCTTCCCATTTAAGTGTGCAATCATGTAGTTTTACGAACCATATGATTACACTTGAATTGTGTTGTGAGAACATCTCAGCTGAAGTTCAGTGCTGCGCCACATTAGATATCTGGTTAAAAGATGGAGTCCTCTGGAGCATAATGAATAAGCTTGTTAATGTGGGGGCCGGTGGAGGAGCTGTGAGAGTATACTGACAGCGGTAGCGCTCATTGTAAACTAGTTTCAGTCTGCTGCTTCTCCAAGCTCTGCTCATAGACAACATTCAATGTGACAAAGCTGCCCACGCTTACATTAAGATTTGAGTAACATTTCTCTGCTTCCGTGCCTAATATTCTGGTTGTAAAAAATATGGAGACTCATTTTCCATGATGTGATTACAGTTTGGCATCACTGAACTTATCAGGATTGGTTTACATTAATTATGAAAAAATAAAGTGCAATTAATCATCCCACTTGACCAATATTCACACTAATGTTCAGAAGTTTGAGGTCAGTAAGATTTTTTTTTTGGGAAGAAATTTATTCAGCAAGGATGCATAAAATTAATCAAAAGTGACCGTAAATACATTTATAATGTTACAAAAGATTTATATTTCAATCAAATGCTGAAGTTTCTATTCATCCTGAAACAGAATACTGAACAAAATGTATCACAGTTCCCACAATAATTTTAAGCAGCACAACTTTTCAATACTGATAAGAATAATAAATGAAGAGTTCAAATGCAAAAGCCTTTAAGTGCCATCTGAAATTTTCATCTAAAATGAGGATTTTTAGCAGGCTCCTACGTTTATGTTCAGTTATTTCACTTTAATTGCATAGAAAAGGACCTATACATTGCCATTAGAGTAAAATTACTGAACCTAAACAGAGGAGCCTGCTAAAAATCCTCATTTTAGATAAAAATTTCAGACGGCACTTAGAGGCTTTTGCATCTGAACTCTTCAAATGCTTCTTGAGCACCAAATAAGCATATTAGAATAATTTCTGAAGGAGCATGTGACACACACACACACACACACACATAAAATAGTGAAAATTCAGGTATCTAATTCTAATTCTAAATATCTAAATTGCTATAATCTTTCACAATAATGCTGGTTTTACTGTATTTTTGATCAAATAAATGCAGTCTTGTTGACCATAAGAGACTTCTTTCAAAAATATAAAATCTTACCAACCTCAAACTTTTAAACAGTAGTGTGAAAATCCTAGATATGTGTCTTTGTGTTCCACCAGGTGTGTACGCATTTGGCCTCTTTGCCACAGACATTTTTGTAAATGCCGGACAGGTGGTAACGGGAAATCTGTCTCCATACTTCCTGACGGTGTGCAAACCCAACTACACAGCGCTGGGGTGCCATCAGGTGGTGCGTTTCATCAGCCAACAGGAAGCCTGCACGGGCAATGAGGATGATATCTTACATGCTCGCAAATCGTTCCCATCCAAAGAGGCGGCCATCAGTGTTTATGCAGCTCTTTATGTTGCTGTGAGTAAACTTGACATATACACACACACAAAAGAAAGAGATGGGTCAAACTTAGTGGTTTCTGATTCATTGTAATTAATTTTTTACTCTAAACAGCAAAAAAAACAAAACATGAAATGCAAACCTGATCCAAAGCTATATGCGTTGTGGTTTGAAATCTTGCAATTTATGAAGGCTGTTTATGAACAAGTTAAGTCAGGGGGGAAAACCGCCTGTACTGTAAATACAGGTCAGACAGAAGGTGGAAACTGATTATTTAAAACTAAATTATGACTAATCTAACATTATAAGAAGATCTTAGAGAAAAATAAAACAATAATTAAATAGCTTAATGTAATTTAATATGATTTTAAATTTCTAAAGCATATGCATAGTTTTGCAAGTAGTGCTGGGTAGAGTTTATAAAAGCACAGTATCTTTAATGCCTGAGGACATTGTGTCCTTCTTAATATTTCGTCTGTGCATTACTGATTATTCAGACTGACTTGTGATTATGCTTATCTTATAAAATTGTCATCCGATTTAAGATTTTAGAAAGAGCATAAAAGGATTTTGTTCCAACACGCCTTCAAATTTGAATAAGAGAAGCCTTTTATCCATACTATGGTATTGATCCAGGCATGAATTAGGTTTCATTACATGTTTTTTTTTTTTTTAATATTACGACTTTTTATAAGCATAAAAAGCCAGTTTCCATTTATTCTTGAAGTCCAAAGTCTTCAAGGCCTGTCCCAGCTACACATCACTCATTTTGGACACAGAAAATTGATTTTCATTTTCCATCAGTTCTCCCCAGGTCTTTAAGTTGCTTTGCCTCACTCTCTGATTCTCGATCATGTTAACATCTGGGGTGATCTGTAAGATTTAATACAGGGGTGTCCAGTCCTGCTCCTGGAGGGCCAGTGTCCTGCAGAGTTCTGCTCCGACCCCAATTAAACATGCCTGTATCAGCTAATCAAGGATTACTAACTAACTTCCAAGCAGGTATCGGAGCTAAACTCTGCAGCACACTGGCCCTCCAGGAGCAAGACTTAGCACCCCTAATTTAACGTGGTCCAAAGCTTTGTAGAAATGCATCTAAAAGTCCTGAGATCAAAATCATACAATATTAGACCCATTAGATGGTAGGCAATGTCACAAGTTAATGTACACAACAAACATACATTTTTGTGCAATGCCAGAAATGTCTATAGCAAGACATGGAAATAAATAAATAAGAATCATATAAGTTCTCCTCTATGCCCCGCCTTTCTGAAAAGCATTGATTTTTACAAAGCTCATCGTTCTGAAAAGCGAGGTGTGCTCTGATTGGCCAGCTCGGTCAGCATTATTTGTCAGAACACCGGCATTGTAGGCTACTCTCCCAGAAAACAGTCCTTGTCCTCTGTAAAATGCGTTGCACACATCTGAACTGTTCTGAAACAGTGTTGTAAATACAACTTAACCACTGATGTCTAGTTGTGTCCTCTTTTGGAAGGCCAAACAAATGAACGGAAAACTTGAAATCGCATCATATGACCGCTTTAAATAAATCAGAAATGGTTTACATTCTGAGTAGGCATGTTTTAGTGGTAACAGCCTCAAGACAAAAAAAAAAGTCAAAAATTGCTAAAAAGTCCAAATTGCTCTTCTAGGAGATTAATTTAATGGGTCCTATGACAATAATAAAATGAATAACTTCCCTATAGACAGAAAAAACTTTCATCTGTCATATCCAAATGGCATTGTGTCATATAGTTAGAGGAGAGGAGGAGAATCAATAGATCTAGCATGCCTAAGGGCTGCTCTGTTACTTAATTACCTCAGTTGGCCTGTGACGGAATATCAAAATAGCACTTTACCTGAAAATCTAAATTCTGTCACTATTTACTCATTCACCCTCGTTCCAATCCAATTTCCTGTTATATTTGTCAAGTGTAGCACAAAAGTATTCAAAACCTCTAAAATATGTACGAACACTGACAAAGTTTTCATCTAGCTCACATTCAGATAAAAAATAAAATAAAATCTGTCAAGTTCAATTAAACAAATCTTTTTATCTGCTTTTGCCCTCAAAATGGGTTTTGAATAAGATAAGAATGAATAATGTCAGGGTATCTGCAGGTCTTAAAAAGGTCTAAATATTTTTGTTTGAATTTGAGATGATGTTATAAGAAGTTTGTTTGAAGATGATAATATTTTCTTTACTTGGTCTAAAAAAAGTCTTCATTTTACCATCATAAGATCTGCAGAAACCCTGCTAATGTTTATGCACTGGTTACATATTTGAATTTTTCAATTATTTAATTGCACATGCTTGTGCATGTACACTTAGTTTTCAATTTAGATTATCTTTGTCATAATCTAACACTCACATAGTTCTCTAACTATCTAAACACCACTAATAATTTAGTAAAACTGTTAAATGTGATATTTAGCTAATGTAAATATCAATTTCCATACTGTACATTATAATGTTGTTGTACCGGGGCTGATGAGACGAGAGGCGTGCGGATCCATGTGCAAGCTTTTATTAATAAACAGTCAAAAACACAGGCAGGGTCAAACAACAGCAAACAGGTATGGCACAGGCAAGACAGAAGAGCAATCCTAAACGGGCTTGAGTCAGACGACAGCAAACGTAATCCAGAGGGTTTGACAAGAGGGGTAATCCGTAAATGTGAGCATAAATCCAGGTGAGGAGCAAACACAGTCCGAAACAGCAAGCAAAGGATTAATCCAAGATACGTGGCAAGAAGCAGGAACCAGGAAAACAGGCAAAACAAGACAATGACTAGACTATGAAAACTAGAGCAGGCTCCGTAAAGTAGCTATCACAGTGATAAATGCTAAACAATACTAGAGACTAAACAAAAACACGGAATGGCTCGGTAAAGCAGCTAACACTAGGAGAGTGATAAATGCAGAACAATACTCAGTGACTTGAGAAGGATCTGAGTAACACTAGGAGAGTGATAAATGCGGAACAATACTCAGTGACTTGAGAAGGATCTGAGTGGGTGTTATATAATGTGTGTAATAACTTTCAGGTGAGCGTGTGATTGGTTACAGCTGTGTGCAATCAGTGCAATGGATGATGGGAAATGTAGTCCGGAGTGACATGTAACAGTCTGTGTGGTGTGAGAGTCAATATGATGAAGAGGCAATCTCTTGTGGCAGTCAGATGGAAGTCTATGGACAGAATTCATGACAGTTGTGAAGCCTAAATCACTTGCAGCATTAAAATGGTTGATTTGAGATTTTAGTGTTTTGTTTTTAACCTGTTTAGTATAAAATATAACATTGATCATTTATTGTTAATTGGCCATAACATGGACAGAATTATCAAGCTTATCTCATTGGCCATAATTTTAATCAATGTATTCCTAGAACTATAAAATTCGAGCTTCATCGGGATTATAAGGAAGCTTGGTAGAATGAAGAGGACATCTGTCTGAATGCTCCTGGTGCTTCTTGCTCAAGACATTAATAGTTGTACTTGATCAAATCCTCACAGTGAGATGAATGCCAGACTACCCCCACCTTCCCTCTCTCCCCTAAGGCTTGATTCAGGACAAAAGCAAAGCAGGTTGTCTTCAAATACCACTAGACTAGCCTTCAAATGCCACCCTTCCAGTCAATGCCAATGTCTTGGATAAATGAAACGATGTAGCTGAACCATGGAGATGTATTTCATTTGCAATGCACCTGCAACAGCATCAGACACATTCAAATGTTTACATACACTGATCAGAGTAATGGGTGCATGTTAGCGTGCCATTTATTATAGTGAAAGCCACTGTTTAAACGATTAAATTGAAACCTGTGTTTGCAGACAAACATGCCCACACATGAGCAGGGAATGAATGAGCTATAAAAAGCGTTTACACAGTGGTTAGGATGAAGATGTATTACAGAGTGGTCTGTTTTTCCTCAGATGTACATCACATGTTCGGTGAAGGCCAAAGGGACACGGCTGGCCAAGCCGGTGCTGTCTCTGGGGCTCATGTGTCTGGCCTTCCTAACTGGGATTAATCGAGTGGTGGAGTACCGCAACCACTGGTCTGATGTCATTGCTGGCTTCATCATCGGAGGAGCCATTGCTGTCTTTATGGTGAGGTCACTTTTGAGAACACACACACTAATAGTAAAGATGCATATGCAGTTCATATGCATACTTACATGAATATGCACACTTAGAAATTCAGTTGCTGATCTTATTGAATATTTATGCAAGCACAGTGATTTTAATGAACTGTTTGTACTTATTTTGTGAGGATTATTTTAATAATATTATGTTTAGTTATAGCAATACAGACTACATATCAGATTAGGCTATACACTATCATTCAAATGTTTAGGGTGGGTACGATTTTTAAAATATTTTTGGAAGAAGTCTCTTATGGCTGCATTTATTTGATAAAAAATCTAGTAAAAACAGTAATATTGTGAAATATTATTACAATTTAAAATAACTATTTTCTATATTAATATATTTTAAAATGTAAATTATTCCTGTGATGGCAAAGCATTACTGCAGTCTTCAGTATCACACAATCTTTTAGAAATCATTCTAATATGCTGATTTTGTGCCCAAGAAATATTTATTATCATTATTATTATTATCAATGTTGAAAGTTGTTCTGCTTAATATTCTTGTAGGAGCCGTTTGACGGGATGTTTTGATGAATTAAAAGTTCAAAAGAACAGCATTTATTTGAAATAGAATGTCTTTGTAACAATGAAAGTCTTTACTGCCACTTTTGATCAATTTATCACATCCTTGCTAAATAAAAGTATTATTATTTTTTTAAGTACTGACCCCAAACTTGTGAACAGTAGTGTATGTAACATGGCTAATGTATAGTATTATGGAACATTGTTCCTTTTGAGTTTTCTAATTTTGTGAATCATAAAACATGCAAACAAAGTTATATAAAGGTTATATAATGTGATATGCACAAATCTAAGTGCCTATGAAGTCACCAATGATGAGACATACTAAAATAAAAACTAAAATAATGTTTTTGCAACTCCTGTTCAATCTGGTCTTATGTAACTTTACCTATCAGGCAGACATTTCTAAGCATTGTTAGGGAAGTGGGGAACATCAAAAGTTTGAAAACACCTGATTTAGACAAATTATAAACAACAAACATCATAGTGCTGAATAATTGAGCAGTGCTTTAGCAAAAATACAAGATTAAAATGTCTGTTTAAATGCCTCATAGACTACTTGGAAAATGTAGTGAGGTAAGCTAACAGTTACTCTTCATTAAATGAAGCTTCACTACACTAAAGCTACAGCCCTGTGAAATAAGCTACAGCAACATGGTAAAAGTAGTTTACTAGGCCTACATCTAAGCTATTTTTTTATTTATTTAATTTTTATATTGAACCAACATCATAACAAGTCAATGCTCTCTCAGTGATCAATAAAACTGTCAGTCAAGCAGATAGACAGGCATAATAGTTCAGTTCAGTTTAGTTGTTTATTCAACAACTGTTCCAAACAAATTTGGCAATAGGGCTGAAACGATTCCTCGAGTAACTCGAATACAAAAAAATCATCGAGGCAAATTATGTGCTTCGAAGAATCGTTTAGTCCATTTACTAGGGATGCACTGAATTTTCGGCCACCGAAAATATATGCCGCGCCGCCCAGTGGTGTTCAGGTTTCAAACTCCTCCAGCCGTCATCACTGCGCTGTGTGACGCTCCGTTCATTATTCCACTCTATCAATGTGCATTTTGCTCATTTACTGCTCATGCTCACCGGAAAAGCTAAGTCCGCTCAAATAACGTGCCGAAGTCGTGGGCTAATGGTTAGAGAGTCTGACTCGTAACCCAAAGGTTGCGGGTTCGAGTCTCGTACCGGCAGGGTTTGTAGGTGGGAGGAGTGAACGTACAGCGCTCTCTCCCACCTTCAATACCACGACTGAGGTGCCGTTGTCATATTACGCGATCATATCTCTATGAATGAATAAATGGCAGAAACGCACGTTTTCCTTTAACGTTACCACACACACTGAAGCGCGCATGACGCTCGCGTTGATTTCAGCGTCTGCCGTCTCAATGAGGACATAAACACACTAACAACATCTCCAGAACTGCTCTGAGAGTCACGTCATGACCGTTTCATTTGAGTAAAACTAGCGTCATATCATATACACGGTGACCGTGATTTCACCAAGTACAACATGTTCCTGGATCAACATCCTTGTTGATCCTGGAAC